TTTGAAGTCTTTAAATAAAGATCAGATTTCATTCTAAAAATACATGTTGCTTACCCAGATGTTATGTGATTGAAACAAGAATTGTCAGATGAAGTATCATGTCTTGTGCTATACAGAAGGAAAAACTAGTTGATCATAAGGTGCTTTCTAGTCTTAAAATCCATCCGAGTATTTCTTCAGGTTTGAATATCTTAATTTACAAATTTAACAGTGTTATTCATGGTTTTATGCAATATTTTTGGCGAGCATAAGATAGAAACAAAACAAACCCTTGCATAAATAAGATCATACAGAATCCCATGCCTTTTGTGGCATTTAGATCCAGAACTCGGGCCATTTCAAGATCTCTGCTGCTGCCACCACAGTGTAGGTATCAGTATTAACCTACTGTTCTTTACGTGTAATGGTTACCAAAGGAGCTCTGACACACGTACTTTTCCAGGGTGCTACACAGTTAATAAATAGTTCTCAGAAAAATATTAGTTGTCAGCATTCCTGGAGTTTATGCCTGGATTTAGGGGGGAAGACAGCAATGATATCAGTAAGCGCAGCAAACCACAGGAATTTAATACTGTCAGTCTGGGTGTTTGGACTTCATGGTTTAGATTTAGATTTGCCTCGTTTGCAATCTCTCTGTAAAATGAAGGCAATGATCTATGTTTACTTTCTCTGGGCAGGGAAGGTAAGAATTTGTTCAATACTAAACACTTTAAAGGATACAGCTGTATTTTAACAGAAAAGAAGAGATAAGGGAAGATATGAGACATGACCTCCTAGCTTGAACTGGCATGAAATGGGAGGGAGAGAAAAAAGGGCTCACCTAATGATGTGGGAGAGGAGCTGCACGAGTTTGTGGTCCCAGTTACATCATTTGATTTGTTTCACACTAGCTACTAGGAATGGGGTGTGAGAAAGAGGGCAGGAAATCCTAATGGCTCTTAGCTCCTTTTAAATCTATGTCTGCTTTCGTAGGGGTACAAAGAGAAGTTGTGTTGACTCATATACCAGTGGAATTATATGCAGCGCTGTAATGACACTTTGCAGTTCGAGGCTTTTTCAGTTGTGCTTGTGGGCCTTCTTCCTGCCTGCCTTCCTAGCATGTTCCCATTGCGCATTATGCCAGTTCATCAAAACAGCTATTTTCACGGATGCAGTTATTTTTAATTAATGTACGTGTCAACCTGTTCAACGTGCCATAACTGCATATATTTTTAGAAGGACACATTTTGCAGTTTATGGCAGGATTAAAACTGGATTTCAGAAAGGATCTCAGGGGGAAAAAGCCTCCTACTGATTACAAAACAAAATTACATTGATGTGGAAATCATTAAAGCAACCTGCTGTGACTTGGTGGTTAAGGGACATAAAAGATACCTTACAGCAAATCAAATGTAATGCAAGGGGAAAAAAACCAAACTGCCAGTTCTGTATATGCTCAGGGCTCATTTGAGGGAACCACAGAGGAACTGTGAGGCTGCTCTGCACAGCTTATTGTTAGTTCCCTAGCAGAAGTAGATGTGTCTATCCTGTGTCTTCGATGTTTCTTTGACTACTTTGTAGAGAGATGATGAGAGAGACCTTGGTGCAGCCCTCTGGACTTTTTGCTCCAAATCAAAGCTGCTTCTTTCTGAAGCGGAACAACACTTCCACAGCCACACAAGTCTCTCCAGGCACACAGCTTTCTGCTGAAATTCCAGCTACTGATTTGTCTCACCCAGTTCCCTCTTTTCCTTCAGAACACTGAATCTCATTTTCATAACTTTATAATTAGGGGGAAAAAAGGCCTTCCTGAGCAAGCTTCCCAAGTTCACTCAGAGTTCCTCAGGCTGATGATATTAAACTAGGGTGGGTTTAGCATCTTCACTCCAATCAAATTATGTTTTACCAAAAATAATCTGCTTTTTTCATTTTTTTTTTTCTGCCCCCCTGGAGACTGTGAGTCCGTCTGGCTAGCATTTGTACAAGTTCTAAAAATATTCTTCAAAATCTGTCTCCAGATGCATGTACAACAGCTTTGTGGAACTTGTTGGAGCTTTATAGTGGAGCTAAAGATGTCACTTTGATACAGGAAGGGAAAGCTAGCTAGAATCATTTTAGGCAGAAAGATTATGCTGTAATATCTACAATGATATGGTAGTCTAATACCAGTCTGCTTTTAGTTATTTGTAAGCTTTTAATTATAAAAGGCTCCTTTTAACTCCTTAGTCTGCCTGGGACTGGGATCTGAAAGGATTAAAAATGGCTTAAACCATTATACTCTCTTTTCCCTCTATCTTCAAAATCACACTCTCAAGGAAAATTTTGGTATAAATATGACTATTTGTGATTATGGCTTACTGCATATAAATTTCCTATTGAATCTGACCTGCCCCGCTGTCCTTCAGACCTCCCCAGACCATCTGAAGGGAAATTCATATGTCCTAAAGCAACAAATATATATTGAAGATTGTCCAAGACAAAGATTTAAAATGTATTATGTGCATTTTTCTGCACAGTTTGCAATGAAAACTGTTGACTGTTGTAAATTCAAAACATGTGTGTTTCTCATAGGCTGAGGTTCTATGAAATGCCAAGCATAGCCTAAAATATAGCCTAAAATATTAGAACATACATTAAGGACTTACCAGCTAAGTCCTATGCACAAGGTTCAATAGGTAACCCCCTTCAGGAAGAGTGTTGCTTGACCTAGTAAATAACAGCTGAATATCTCTGAGAGAATCTGAGCCAGCATCTGCTTTTACAGCAGCATGAATCAGAAATAACTGTGTCAAGGACAATACATGTTTCATCTTATTTAGATTAAAATGGATTTTGGTGCTCAGCCTTCAAGCTATTGGTGTAGATATGTTGGCTGGTTCATTCTGAAAATTGAAAGTTTTGGTTTTCATACAGTTGGTAAGTGGAATAAGTGTCCTTTCAACTGTACCAGTAATGAAAACATACAGAAAATATTTCCATTACAGTTGGACTCTGCATGCAGTTATGGAACAAAACTTCATTAAACGAAGTGAAACATTTCCTAGAATTCCCCTACCACATCCATATTATTATGGTAATTTACTTTGAATTTAAGAATTCTGATCCTCTTTGTATGTCTCGGGTAGGAGCAGTCGTCTTCGTCACATTTGTTCCCAAGTCTTTTGAATTCCAGCTTTGCATTTCAAGGTTTTTATTCATGCAGCAACCAGCCAGTTTTTTCTGCATTCTACAGGCTTGGCAGCAAAAGAAGAAAAAAAAAAAACCACCAAACAGTTGAATCTTTTGTTCTCTGGGGCCCAGATCTCTCCTCTTTCCTTCCAGCACCCCCTGAAAAGCAGCAGAAGTGGTGTGGTTGTATTTCATAAGTTACAGTAAGGCTTCAAACATTGTGAGCTTTGAGAATGTATCCTCCTTTCCTTTCCAAAGCATGAGAAAGTGGCTGTTGCACTGGACTACTATGTTGGATATAGAAGAATCACCTATTCCCCTGCACCACCCCATACTCTCACTACCATGCCAGGAAATGAAGGGTTTGTGATAAGTAAATGGGTAGTGTTATGTTGGGTTCTTTCATGTCATTCCTGAGCAGGTTCTGAACTGCAATTCCAAACCACTCTCTAGGATCTAAAGCTATAATTCCTAGTCCTGAGGTGTTGTAAGATACCTCTGTACAAACCGTGATTTTACAGTTGTCCTCCAGAGCTAGTGATGAACATCAGTCAGGTAGTTCTGAGGTGGATTTTTGAGTCATTTTTTATTTTACTCTTGCTTTTCTTTGATAAGGCCCTTTTACACTCTTTGTACTGATGCAATGAGGAAGGGAACCACCTCTGGTTCTATGATCAGTGTGGATTTCTTCAGCCTGTATGAAACCCTGCAGCCCATTTAGACACTAGTCCTGCCTTGACAGGCTGTGTCCAGAGCTGCAGCAAAAGTGCTCCCAGAAGGGGCACATACTGGGGACAGATATATCCCATGTTTCCTGCTGCTGAGGAAGAGGAGCATCAAGCTCCAAGGAGCAATGCCACCAGCATCAATGGCACCTATAAAGAGCCCAAACAAGCTGGAATGTAGTAGGGGAGACAGTCTAAAAGCTGGTAGGACCTGGGAAGGGGAGCACTTTGCTTGAGCAGAGATACCTTAACATCTAATTCTTTTGCTATGACAGTACCTATATTCTTTATGAACTTGAACAGTCTCATTAGCAATTACTAACGTACGTAATACATATTAGTATATCAGGGGCTTAAAGAAGATTCAAAAGATAAGTGAAGAGAAGCCTTATAAGGTGGACCAGTTTTTGACTCACAAGCTTAGCCATCCAACTAATTTTCATGAAGTTTAAGTGAGAGTTAAATCACAGTGAAGATGTTTCCTATGTTGTAATTAGATGGGAAACTCCCTTACAGACAGAAAATCCTAAGATAATTGAATTAAAGATTATTTTATACCATATATATTCACAAAACAATTTAATATAATTTCTAGAGGGTTTTATGGCATGGCTTGAATAATAATAAGACTCTATTCACACTTGTCTGGGAACATGGGTATAAATCACCAAATGTTGCCAGTCATCAATAATGCTCACACCTGAAACTCACGTTGAAGTGCTAGGCTTTACAGTGCAGTCATAGACTCGCTATGTAACATAGAAGTGATTTTATATTAATAGTTTATATGAATATTGTGCTGTATATGTTCTGTTACAGATTACATCTTCCATTTTTCATGGCTATATGAGCCAGTAAGTCCTACAATAAAGTTTGGGGTCAGTTAAAGCTGCTGCCTAAACACACACACTGCTTTAACAGACCCCAAACTCTATTGTGGGCGTGCAAAATTGCCAGCATGTTCTGACCTTGACGTGTCTCTGTTCAGCCTTCGTTTTTCTCCTTTCTGAACTTGCTTCATCCCTTTAGGAACCTTTTGATGTGTTGTGCAAAACTGCAAGCATGACTGTTCAGCTTTGCAAGATCTTTCTAACAAGAAAAAACCCCAAAAGATCTCTCTAAAAGCTCTGGTTCAGATTTCATTTTATTTGTCATCTTTTATGAAGAAATTACGAAATATACTTCATTCACAAATTGGAAATATTTACATTTTCTTTACAACAAGGCATTGTTGAGGTTTTGATTTATGGCGTTCTTAGAGCATTCTGTCTTTCAAAACAAAGACATTGGTGGTGTTTTCAGCACACTGTTCATTTACACTCTGAATGTGAAATGGGAGCCTTTTGGAAGAGTGATTTGCACTTTCTTTTGATACGATCTACTGGGAAAACTGAGGCTGATGTATTTGCAATGTGGGGAGGGGACTGTGCAGATGCGTTGCTGGTTCCATGCCACGTGGTCTGAAGCCATCATATTACACCAGATGATGCTAAGTGGGGAGGAGAAAAAGATTCCCCTGAGCTATCCTTCCTCTGCCCTCTTCTCTTCTCTTTAGGAATCCTGTGACTGGGCTAAATGCGGTCCAGTTTAATTATTTTTTTCTGGTTTTTGAGTCTTCATGAGAAGAAGAGTCTTGAGAAGTCTGTTTCAAATACTATCACAATTCTGAAAAGTTATTCAGACAAAAAACCAAAAGAGAGTAGCCAGGAAGTGAATAAATATTGTATATCCACAAAATGTTTAGGAGACAAATTTTGAACATGTTTCTAAAAGGGAAATGCAACTGTGCTGTTCTGCAGTTGTGACATTTGAGCCATAAAAGCTAAGATAGTTCCATTTTCTCAATTTCTTGGAGTCTTTTTTTTTTCCTGAAGAAAATTCTAAAACCACTTCTTTCCATGGAACTTTTTAAAATCTCTTAATATACACTTCCATTATAAATCAGATGTGGGCCACCATTGCTTAGGTTGTCTGTCATTTCCTGCAACAAGAATAAAAAACACTGATTAAAATTGCAGTTATTTTATGGTGTTTGAAATTTAGTTAGCTAAGGTTGTAATAAAAATTTAACAAACTCTGAATTTCAAACATTCAGAAAAACTTTACATTTTTATTTCACTTGATAAATCTCACTGTAAAAAAAAAGAAATCACATTTCTTCCTACATAAGTACATTTGAAAGCTGATAGACTCATTGATACTGATTGAGTTGGACATTACTCTCAGACCACAAATACAGCATTGATGGCATCCGTGCAAGTTTTGTGATGTTGTCCTTTGAAAGTGCGTCAACTCAAGCTTGTGTGGTAATCTACAAAGGAACAGGATGGTAATTAAGTCTTCATTTCCATTCAAACCTTTTTCTGTGCTGACATGCTACAAACAGATGCCATTCGATGCTAGCTGGGATAGACATTTGGGAAGTAGGTCTAGATCCAAACAGGATCTAAGGGTTTTGACTGCTTGCCTTTTGATGGCACTGATTTTGGTTTGCCCTTAATATGCCAGACTACAATTTTTAGCAGTTCAGCAATTGCTACTCAAGTGGCAGATGAGTCATCATGGAGCAAGCTGACCTGATCATGAGTCAGAATCCTAAAGTACCTAAACCAACATTTGTTTTGAGTTAGATTTTCTAATTCTCAAATTACAATCCAAAAAATACCTACTTAGCAGCTGTCTAAGCCTGGATACTACAGTCATTAAGCACTTCTCTGACCTTCAAGGCTGCAAAGCCACGCAGAGTTTATGCTCAGAACTGCCTTATTCTGAGCAGTCCTAGACCTATTTCATATCAAATTGAATCAGGGTGCAGAAATGAAGTGATCTGCTGCTTATGTCCGATGACAGATCCCAAAGAACATTCAACTATACCCAGAGGAATGGGCACACATAAAAATGCAGTTTGGGCTATTCTTTTTAAAATTCAGGTAGATGAGGTAGAGGTGCCACGGTTGGGCTAGTTCTAAAATATTTGCATGAGAACCAGAAGCTCTTCTCTGCATGGAAAGATTAAGTTTACCTCTTCCACCTCCTAGGTACAGTTGGAGAAATTGTGGAAGTAAAGGGATTTGTTTGTCCCCCTTCTTGTGGAAGTTTCTATGAAGAAAGTAAAGCAAGATTCATTGGGATAAACAGAGAGAGAGAGAGAGAAAGAAAGACAGAAAGAGCGAGCCTGACTCTATAGCATAGTAGCTGAGATTCTTGGTAAAGAGAAGAAAGTTCTGGGACCTGGTCTTTATTCCTAGTCGGACTCTTTGTCTCTCTTCTTTTAATCTACAATATTTGATTTATAAATAGTTTGGGAGGCAGAAAGCAGAACTCAAAGATTCACATAAAGTGGAAGCATTGGTGCCTCCTCTCTCAGGCATTGGCAGCTACATTTCGAAGTAGATCACAAGACTTAATTGTTGCCTGCACAGTTCTTGAAAGAAGGGACGTGCTATTCCTCTCTACAAAGTAACCTTGGTGCCATCAAACCAAGTAGATTTGCCAGTTAATACTTCTGAATCAAGTATAAGTTTCAGGGGAAAGAAGCTGTGTAAACTTACTGAATTCTGAGCATTTTCTACCACCCAGCACTCCATTTGGCAGGTGATGGTGTTGGATGTTTTTGTATGGCGCCTTATTCTCCTCATATACTGAAGAGAAACATGCATGCCTAACACTGAACTCAGGATCCCAGTCTGGGGGCTGCCTGCTCTGAAACGAGGCACTATGGTTGCCTATTTGTAAGGGCCTAAACCCTTTGTTGGATCTACGCTGAAGATGATACCCATCAGCTGGGAAAGGAACCAAGAATACCAAAGCCATTTAATATTAACTATCAGTCAGCCACAGTTCAATAGTAATCTGTCAGAAGACTACTCATGAGCAAGTGTAAGTTTCCTTTTGTCAGCTTTATCACTTGAATCCTCTGCAGACATCAGCTATAAGAATATAATAATTTCAGAAAATATTGAAAATCATTTATTTTCCCCAATATTTTATTTTCAGAAGTAAAAGTATTAAGAAACTAAAAAACGTTGCTGAATTCAAGAAATGAAGGAGCACACAGATTAGAAGCGGAGTGAGTCAATGGTGGCAACATCCAAATAGGAGCATTTGGATGTCTGTAACTAGGGTGAATATTTTAAATACTCAACTTACTTCCAGATTGCAGCATTCACCATGTAGAATTATGTCACCACCTGGAAGCACCATTCCTGACTCAGAGTGACATCACAGCATCAGCCGACTTTGATTAGCTGAAACTATGACTTCCTCTTAGAGGTGGCCCTTCCTGAAGTGACATAACAACATGGTAGCTCCCTAGTGTTCAGCGTACCTTGGAGGTAACTCTGGTGTCGGGGGAACCACCGGGCAGCTGGGCAGGTCGGTTATTTCAATACCCCTCAATCTCTAATATAAATATAACAATTATACGATAAATATAGCACAAACAAATGCACATGCAGTACATGTCTATATTACTGTATATCAGTATAAATATACAAAATAGTCTTATATATAAAACACTTTAAAGCTATTTTCTAAATCAGGGCCTAATTTAATGTAAGTTTTTAAGTAGCCTTCATTATTTTTTAGGGGCATGCCTTGAGCTAATGTACTCAAACCTGCCAGCAGCAGGCCATCCACAGGCTGTAGGTCTAAGAAGTCCCAGATCAGACCATCTACACATGCATACTTGATTCTACAACACACATGCAGGGAGTCCACCATCGGTGGGGCGCATCCCACATTGGTTGAGCATGTGCAGTAGGGTTGCTCTGCACATGCATCATGGCCCTTCACCCAAGATAAGAGTCTAAAAGCTCAGTAGGTCAACAGGCCAGGAAGGGAGGCAGTGAACTACTGCTACGCATGGTCATCTTCAGCCCAAATTGATAGGGTTGGCAGGAGTTTGTATTTTGAAAGGTTTTTATTCCTAGGCCATTTCTTTTTTTTTGCCTCTCTCTTTATCTCTCAAATGAACTTCACCTTTGTCCTTGTTGGGGCAAGAGCCTCTTTGAAAGGTAGGATCTAGCCTACCATCTGCAAGACCATGGTCATACTTGCCTACATAGCTCATCAGAATTCTGCTTCATTTTAAAATGAGAGGGAGAAATGTATCTCTTCCCTTGATTTTATCACCCTGTTTTATGTTACTGTTGTAACCTATACTATTTAACTTTTTAAAACATGTTTCAAACATCTTATAAGGTGAATTCAGTCTATATTTCTACTTGGAGTCTCATCTCAGTTAAGAAACCAAAGACAAGTTATTTTTACTTAATGGACAATTAACGGCTATATTGTGTTTTGTCAGGGAATCTGAAAACATTCTACTGTCTGAATTAATCCTCGCTCTGCTGTTCAGAGGTCTCAGTAGATATGGTACAGACTGTTGAACTTAACTGTAATGCAAACTTGCATGTGGAGGTTTAGATGAACAGTCCACTTGACTTTTGTTCCCTTCTCTACTCATTTCTCAAATGAAAGGCATTGGATACGAAGTCCAAACGTAAAGCACAGGGTGTCAGTGAACTGAATTTTACTCCTCAAATATTAATGAGATCTGTAAATCCAAGCAGCTGATTTCAAGAATTCCATTCAATTAATTCTTTTGGCCCTACATGCTCAACTTCAGGAGCTTAAGTTTCAGCACCTAAACATAGGCCTAGACACCTTGGTAAGCTTCCTTTTAAGAGAGAAAGGCAATAAATGCTTAAGTGCTGCTGCAAATCCGACCAGTTTCACTTAGGCGTCTAAATATGCCCTTAGGTGCATAGGTTTAGTCATCTAGGTTTGTGAACTGTGGCTTTTGTGTTTAAATAAACTACTTTATAAGCTGAGTACTTGGGAGAGGAAGAAATTGATTAAATCCTGGAAGCATGCAATGATGTGGTTACAGAAAGCATTCTGTGCTTTTTTCACAGTACAATACATGATAATCCATATTAATAAGGCTTCCAATTATTTATGAAATGCTATATTTAGCAGCTAAGCCCTTGAATAACTATACAATGGAATTATGTTGAAAATGGATGTACTTCATTGAAATGGATGTACTGCAAATATACAGTACCTAAAAATAGCTCCATATAATGCAACATAATAAAGCTTACACAGAATGGCAGCGTTTAATTTCCCAGAAGCTCTTTCTCATATAGAACTGAAAACATCTCTTGCCAATTGTAAATGTTAACATGTACAGTAGCATTTTAGGAGAAGCAGAACAAATAAGGGAGGACACACAACTTACTTTTTCTGCCATTTCATGGGAGTGATGCAATGAATGTTCTCTTTCTGAGAACATTCGCCTTTGTTCATAGCTGGCTAGCCGACAAGTGAGCCACGAAGAAAGGGTGCAACCACCAATTCCAATGCATGCAAGAGACATGGAGGCAAGATGCAAAGAATAGAGAGCAGATGACTTCTTTGTCAGAGCACGAAGAAATTGAAAATTTAAGATTCCTCCGATTAGTCCACAGATGCAACAGGCAGAAAAAAGTATCATCTGTCAGGAAAGACAAGAGAGGTTATGTCACAGAAACATTTTTAAGAGACAGATTCATTCATATAAAAAATGAGACTAGCCATAATTCAATGCTTCAATAGCATCATGAACTGCAAAACACTGCACAGACACTCATTTTTAACTCCTTCAGCTCCCACAGAGCTCCAAGGGAATACAATACCTTCTGGTGTACAAGAGTTAAGATTGATGTTGCATGTAAGATAAACTTGGGTTGAATGAGTTGCTCATGTTAAAAGCTAGTCAATGGAAGGACTACTAGGACACAAATCTTCTGATTTCCACCATTTCATTCAAAACAGTAACATGACAGAATGTGTTGTAATTTTCTGTCGTGCAGTTCCTCACCACTCCTCAGGAGTGAACACCTCATGCATTCGCAGTGAATCTCTCTTGCTTTGTGTGCCATCTGACTCTGCCTCTTGTTCAATTCTGATTTGTTCAGTCAGACAGCAGTTTGGAAGCTTTCTACAGCTTTTGTGGGGACTTCATTCAAGGTGAATGTGCTGGACAAAGAAGCAAGAGAAACAGCAAAGAAGTCTGTGATGCAGCTCCACAGAAGGTCAGTGTGGTGACTATGTGTTTGTTTGTTTTTAACTTGGCTAAAATGTTTCTGGGAACTTTCGAAGGATGTGAAACAGGCTGCAATTAATGAGACATGTTTAAAGACCTCCTATCGCTTTAATCACAAAGATGCCACCCTGGTTCAGGATGTCCTTGAGTCACAAATGACTCAAGGGCAAAAGACCTTATTATGGAGACACTGCTAAATTATTGTCTTATTCACTTCCCTTGATACTGCTGGCCTGTCAGATGTCGATCTAGATGGGCCTTTGATATTACTCGATATAGCTTTGTATATGCACTTATCTACTGTGGTAGGAACAATTTATGGAGCCTTACAGACGACTTCGGTACACAACTGGGATGAGAATTTCATCAGGAATGTGGCATTCAGGCTGTATGCTGCAGTTCACTGGGAAGTGACTATTCCATGAGACCACCAGAACAGACAGCTTTTAGAAACTGGTTATGGTCCACATGCTTTAAGAAATGAGACTGTCATTGTAACAGGGTTTAGGATAACTCATTGATACTCAAAAATAATCTGAGAGAGATCTTGATTCCCTTCACACTTATGCTGTTTTCACGTGACTTCCATCTCTATATGGCAGAATAATCAAGCTGACAGAAAATTAAGCCAGACATTATCACTTACAATAGGATCATGTCTTTAACATAAAGTTCTGCTGTGACTTGTGTAATAATAACACCATTTTGCTGAAGTCAGAAAAATGACTGTACTTCTGATTCTTAGAAGAAACAGAAAACATCCGCCATCACTTTAAAACTGGCTTATACGTGATTCTGATTGCAGAAAGAACTTATTAAAACAGTGAACAGCTACGATACCTAGAATCAAACTTGGTCAGCAGTCTCACTGAGGTGGCAGCCCAGTGGTGGTTTTTGAAGGAGAGAAGATACAATCCAGTGACATTGTGGGGGAGCTTTTTATTGCCTTGGCATAAATTTGTGTTGAGGTTTTCCATCCATATTTATCCAGACAGGGATAAATAGGGATGCATGGCTGAAATAGGCAAGACCTAAATAGGCCATTTCAGAACTGCCTTATTTTGCTTGATTAACCCAAAGTGCTGATTGCTTTTTTGGACTGCTGACTTGCAGTTTTTACTGTCTTTTTATCTGAAACACTTGGACACAGAAAGCCCCCAGTAAGGAGTTCAAGTTAGATAAGTATGCCTTTCAAATACTTGTGTTATATATGCAGTGGAAAAACTTACAACAAGTCCAGATTTTTTTTTTGCACACAATATTCCACATATGCCACAAAGCAGAAACTGCAAAGAAAAAAAAACAACACACAATTATTTCATCATTTAAGGTCTCAAGTTTAAATCCTGCTGTGTTGCTGTAGTGATGATCACAACAGTAGGTTAGGCAATGGTTACAGTTGTTGTCAGCATTTTTATCACAAACCTTATGTTCCAGGAAGTTATAAGTCAACTGTTAACACACTTATCCAAGAAGAAGAAACTGGAATGAGAAGTCAGACTGAGGATGATTACTCATAAAAAAAGCAAAAAAAAAAATCCTACTTTTAAGCTGCTTGGGTAAACAAAACCTGAAAAAAAAAGCCCCAATCACAAAGGGAACCAATTGTTGCATCAATCATGAGGCAAAAACTGATTACAGACCCCCCCCTTCCAGCTGATATGAATAGGTGTTAATGCTTTTTAGTGACCTGCATCAAAGACCAATGACGATCTCTGATGTATCTTCTTCCTCCTACAAAAAAGTTTAAGGAGGGAAACAGCAAACAGTCCCTGAGGGAACAGTCATGATAGGAACTACAGTAGTTGTATGAAAACAATAAGGCCTTCTGCAAGTGTCTGTAATACTGTCAAAAGATTTCTTTGATACCTCATAAACTCCTTAAGAAATCTATGCTACTTATTTTCAGTAAAGCTAACCCTACACCTCTACTGGGAAGTAATTTTATAGTTTTAAAACTGGATTTTTCCACATCTTTTTTGCATTGAGATGGTATTTCTAGCAAAAGGCTGTGCTTGACCTTGATTTAGGATTAAATCACAGAACAGACCTGGCTGTTACAGAAGAAGTGAAAAAAATTAAGCAGTTTCTATACAGCGTTCAGGGTCCATGTAATATATTGCATGTACATTTCATTTACCCTCCAAAATATTGCAACTTCAGTATCTCAGTTGAGGAGATGCTTTAATACATAGTTTATCTCCCTCCAACTAAAGTAGTTCATGTATATAGCTAAGCATAAGTCTTGGGATGTATTTTTACTCTGAGTTAGTAATTATAACCATAATTAAGATGGTTAAATTTTGTGTATTATTTACCTCTACACTAAGCATGGGATGTGGACTTAATACTAATCTGATTATGGAGAGGGCTGGGTCATGTAGACCATGGCGCTGAATGGCTCAGCATGTACCAGGACACACAACTGGTAATTGCTACTAGAGCTCACCCATTGGAACAAAAATCAAAAACCCAATGGGTAGGGCTCCCTCTGCCCCTTTCCCACAGGCAGAGGAGATTTCACCTCAAAACTATCACATCTGCCTTGTAAGTTTTCACTCAGGCTTCTGAGTGAAAGTTTTGGAGTTTCACTCCCAATCCTGTCATTGCAGACTACCTTCAACTGAAGGCATGCTTCAGATTTTGTAGTGCTTTGTATTTCTCAGCATTAATGCAGAAACCTCAAAAAAAATTTTGTTGAAGACATCACTGTAATTAAGTTCTATTCAGTCAGACTTGATAAAGCAAATTAATAATATCATTTCTCTCTGTAGTGATTGAATAGGATTAAAAGGAAAATTCTGTATAAAGAAAAATGAGTTCTGGAAAGCTTACAGAAAGGATCCGGAAGATACCCTCAAAGATAGTTTCAACTTGTAACAAGTGTATGTTAACTAGTTTAAAAAGCTGGGTTTTTGATAATTTATGTTCAAAGCTGAAAGAATAGGTCACCCATTTTTAAAAAATGCTTTAATTCTGCTCCTATTAAAGTCAATGGATTTTTTACTATTGATTTCAATTGGAGAAGACTTTCTATTTCCATTGTACAGTCTTTGCTAGCCAGAAAGGAATGCAATGAACAAGTTACATTAGCCTTGCATATGACCAAAGGAGCAACAAGCAAGTTACATATTCACTCAGCATTAGAACCCACCAGTTTGGGCAGTTCTGCTGTTCTTTACTATTTTTCAAGGACAGGACACACACTTTTCCAAACCACCTTTATATAGTGCCATATACATATATATTACCTAAGGTATTTCCCATTTGAAATCCAAAGAATAGTGAGTGAGCTAATCTGCAAGCCCTAAGGAGTGGGCTTAGAATCATAGAATCATAGAATCATAGAATCATTAAGGTTGGAAGAGACCTCTAAGATCATTGAGTCCAACCTAACACCACCACACCCACTAAGCCATGTCCCTAAGCGCCTCATCTACACGTCTTTTAAATCCCTCCAGGGATGGTGACTCAACCACTTCCCTGGGCAGCCTGTTCCAATGTTTAACCACTCTTTCAGTAAAGAAATTTTTCCTCACATCCAATCTAAACCTCCCCTGGCGCAACTTGAGGCCATCTCCTCTCGTCCTTTCGCCAGTTACTTGGGAGAAGAGACCAACACCCGCCTCACTACAGCCTCCTTTCAGGTAGTTGTAGAGAGCGATGAGGTCTCCCCTCAGCCTCCTTTTCTCCAGGCTAAACAACCCCAGTTCCCTCAGCCACTCCTCATAAGACTTATTCATAATGTTCACATATGTTTTGTATTGCACTTTAGGAAGGTGAAGTATCATAAGTGGGTCAGTTTATGTAAGGGATAGCTGCCAGAAAGGAAAATTTAATTTGTGCAATATGGCGGGCTCTGGATAAAGGTCCAAGTCAACTGAACACAGTATTCGAGGTGCGGCCTCACCAGGGCCGAGTACAGGGGCACGATCACTTCCCTGCTCCTGCTGGCCACACTATGTCTGATACAGGCCAGGATGCCATTGGCCTTCTTGGCTGCCTGGGCACACTGCCGGCTCATGTTCAGCCAGCTTCTCAAAAACAAGGAGTGACTACTGTATTCCATAGTTGTTAAGGTATCTGAGGGACTACCTGGAGTAATGATCTGGATGCAGGAGTTGGATGTACATTAAGTAAGTTTGCCGGACTAAATTAAGAGGAGCTGTGGACTCCCTCGAGGGTAGAGAGACCTTACAGGGAGATCTGGATAGACTAGAGAGCTGGGCAATCGCCAACCATATGAAATTTAACAAGAGCAAGTGCCGGATTCTGCACCTGGGATGGGGTAATCCTGGTTATACATACAAACTGGGGGATGAGAGGCTAGAGAGCAGCCCTGCGGAAAGAGATCTGGGGGTCTGGGTTGATGGCAAGTTGAATATGAGTCAATAGTGTGCCCAGGCAGCCAAAAGGGCCAACTGTGTCCTGGGGTGCATCAAGCACAGCATAGCTAGCCGGTTGAGGGAGGTGATTGCCCCATTCTACACTGCACTGGTGCAGCCCCCTCTACACTACCCCCCTGTGTGCAGTTTTGGGTGCCTCAACTTAAGAAGGACATCAAACTATTAGAGTGTGTCCAGAGGAGGGCGACCAAGATGGTGAAAGGTCTCGAGGGCAAGACTTACAAGGAGCAGCTGAGGTCACTTGGCTTGTTCAGCTTGGAGAAGAGAAGGCTGAGGGGTGACCTTATCACAGTCTACACCTTCCTCAAGGGGTGCAGCGGAGGGGGAAGTGCTGATCTCCTCGCCCTGGTGACCGGTGACAGGAAACATGGACATGAGGAAAAGGTTCTTCACTAAGAGGGTGGTCGGTCACTGGAACAGGCTCCCCAGGGAGGTGGTCACAGCACCAACACTGTCAGAGTTCAAGGAGCATCTGGACGATGCTCTTAATCATACGGTTTAGTTTTAGGTAGTCCTGCATGGAGTAGGGAGTTGGACTCAATGACCCTTATGGATCCCTTCCAACTTGAGATATTCTTTGATTCTCTGATTCTATGATAATATTTTATTGTGTCAGGGTCTGTATGTGTACACTGTATGTATTTTCTCTCTCTGTACATCTACAATATTTATATATATACACAAGGAATAAGGTGTCCTGTAGTTAAAGAACTCAACAGAGAACTCAGGGGTTTTGGGTATCCTTGGTTCTCCTACATTCTTCTGTGTGAGCTTGGGAAGCTCATGCCAAAATTTTATAATCCATATGACTACGAGACAAGCAAGTTGTGAAACTGAATGCACTAGTGTGCCTGAACATCTTAAAAACCTTGGTAGAAAAGCACTTGGGCAGTAGCAAAGGATTAATATTATTTGATGTTTTTTTGGATGACAGTGTGTTACATTCACAGAGAAAAGGCTTGCCCAAAAAACAGTATGGTTATTTTTTTATGACAGCAGGCATTTTGCTATTAAAACCAGTGGATGAATTTGAGCCACAGTGTCAGGCAATTAACCTCATGCAAAGCTTTGAAAATGTTAAGCCAAGTTTACCCCTCACTTCTGAGACTGCAGAGGATTCTGATCCACTGGAAGCAGTGGAAACCCGCTTTACAGAGAGAATATTAGCAATACCCGGGGCTCAGGAACACTGCTCATGCAGAGTTGCCTTAGCCAGCCTTCTCAATGTAGACCTCTAGAAAGGTTAGGAAGTCAGTGGGATATTATGTGATCATTGCTTTTGATAGATCAGCTAGGGACTCGAGAATTCTTTTGTTGGTGCTATAGAAATTTCCTGTAAAATTTTTAATGTCACAGTGTTGTGATCAGCAGTAGTGAAAAGCAGATGGGAGAAACTATGCTAGCTCTTTGTAACAGAAAAAGCATGCAAATACGAATCAGACTCAAAAGGAATTTCCTATGCTTGTTCCTGTTTGGCTTTTGATTTTGAACTCTTCTATTTTATAATACTGCCAACTGGAATACAGCCATCAGGGGCTCTGCTGTCTTGCCACTCTCTGTTCTTGGCTATCCTGAAAGACTTCATCTTCATGTCAATATGTCATACCATTTAAACTTGACTTGTAACTGTTGAGCTACTCTGGACTACAGTTTACCCATGACTAACTAATACTGTCATGTGAGAACTTTCTCCTTTCTACATGATCATTGATTGTCCTCAGTCAATTTTTACCAACCTCTTGGAGTCTTTTAAATGTAGTTAGATTTTCTAACCCTGTCAAACCTGAAGTAAGTTAAGGCAAACACATGCTGAAAATACAGTAAATCAGGAGTGGAAAAGAAATATATCACTGAAGATAAGCTCCTTATAAAGAATGATC